CCAATAGTCCTTTTCCAGAGAGATGCATTTATTCGGATAAAGATATTTGTTACAGATGACAGAAATCCAGCTGAATATTTGTAAAGATTACAATGAACAACAGCCCTCAAAGTCCCATTCAAGATACTTCATATCAAGCATAGAGACTACACCGTCCAGCATATGTCCGATATATAATATGCACCTAGGTATCTTCCATGCATGCAATAATGTGAGTTATGATCTATACCTGTCCTGTCACTTGGGTTTTGTCACCCGTATCCTGACCTGTGCTCTGTCCCACGTATCCCCCTTGTGCTCTGTCTTGTGCTCTGACCCAGGTATCCTAACTTGTGCTCTGTCCCATGTATCCTATGCTGGGCTCTGTGTCCTGTGTTAATATACACATTTTACAAATGGCAACCACTCTGATTGGCCACTTTTATTAGCATATTTGATCTTATGTGTCTAGACCTAGAATATCTGTATGCATCATGAATATTTAAGACTTTCCCCAATCTATTTGCAAATAGCCTGGTGTTAAACTTCCCGACTCTCCGTATATTTACCCAAAAACAGGTTAACCCAATTACCTCCTGCATACATTAACATAGTAAGGAGTCCTTTTGGTGTGTAAAGTGGTTTTGTCAATGGGCTGTCGCAGAATAAAAATATATGTTTCAATGTCTTCAATATACTGTACATATATATATATATATATATATTACACACAATATACTACAGTGACTATCATTGTTCTTTCTTTCACCTGGTAGAAGTGTATGTGCGCTAGGATGTCCCTGGGTATTGTGGCTGGTAGGAATGACGGTTTTGGTGTTCTGTGTGCGCGATCTATGGCGAGCTCCACATCTGTGAGAGAAGGGATGAGGTGTTTCATGTATTGTTGTATGTAAGGCACTATGGCGTACATAGTAATAGATTTGAGTATTTAGCAGAATTTAATATTATTCCGCCTAGAGCAGTCTTCTAGGTCTGCCAATTTGAGGTTAATTTGTTCTGTCGGCTCCATGGTCTGTGTGTGCGTCTATTAGGTCATTGTGCGCTGTGAACATTTCCCCCATTTTATTCTCAATGTGGCGAATACGGTGATCTTGTTTTTGTACCTCGGTTGAGATTTGAGATAAAGTCGCTGTCATATCATTGTGTAGTGTTTGTCGCAGAGAAAGAAGCATGCTTTTCATGGAAATTTCAGTAATAGGTTGATCAGAAGCAGGAAAGTTTTCAATCAAAGATGGAGTAAAAGTAGCAGTAAGTGTAGGAGGACAAGAAGGCTGCAGATCAGGAATAGTGTCCATGTCCAGTCTGGGCCTGGACTTAGCAGGACTGCTAGTGGAGGGAGACAGGGGTGGAGAGGACTCACCCGGGTCTGCTGGGTACAATGGCCTGTGCTGCGGTTCCCTCTGCTTGTGTGAGATCATTCTGTGAGGAGCCAGCGCCATTTTGGCTGCAGGGGCTGACAGCTGGAAAAAAGCTGGTCAGCTTCCCTGGCTGCCCCGGTGATCTACGGCATGATCCAGAGGGTGCCTTGTCTCTCTCTGTCCCCTTATGTGAGCGGGGAGAGTGTCAGATTCACTAGGTCTGAATTGAGCCGGTATTTAGCTGGCGGCAGGACGGAGCTCTCTTCAGTGAGCTGTCATCCCGGAGCTGGCCGCGCATGCACCCCCTGCCTGCAGTATATTTGCATGTTCCCACGCGTTAGGCAGCCCATTGAAATGATTGGGCTGAGGAACAAAGATTGTCAACAATGCCACATTCACACGAGTCATCTGGCCTGTACAGCATGAATGAGGGGGTTGTTCATGTGGCTGGAGCCACCTGGTACACTATGGGGACACAGCAGCTGTATGAACACAGGTTCCCATCTGACAGGTGTGCAGGCGTGGGGAAGTGGCCCTGAATGCTCACTGTCTGTGTTCAGGCTGTACACCTGCAGGCATATACCTGTCAGATTAGGACCTGCAGCATCTCCATAGTGTAACATCAGTTGCCTGCAAATGGCTTATTTAGATTTACCAGGAATGTTGTTGGGATTGTGTACATTAATCCCTTTGCGCTGGTGCCTCCAGGATCTTTAAGAGTTTCAGGGGAGGGGTTTTAGGGTCATGTGACCACTGTGATTTGTTGTCACGGCGGTCACATGACGGAAAAGGTCCCAATCGTAAGGGGAGATTGGGACCTTTCCGTGAGTCACGGACATATGTGCTGGGAGCGCGCAGGGCGTTCGCTCTCACCACATATGTATTTTCAAATGGTACGCAAATATGCAGCCGTTCGGCATCAAAGCCCAGACACCTAGAGTCTGTAGATTTGCGTGTGTGATTAGCATCTAGGGGTTCATAATGTTTTTAGTGTATTTTTACCATAGATAAAAATTTTATATTTTTTCTGGTGGTGAGCTCTGTCAGGTAGTCTGTACAGGGCCCCGTGATATCAGTGGCCCTACCTGGCTGTGCAGAACTATAGGGGGACCTAAATCTCATAACGACTCCTAAGGGGGTAGTGCCAGATATATAAACATGAAAAATGCTACATAAAAAGGAGCAATGAATGTCATAAAATATAGTGAAATGTCCTCTACTGTTTGTGTTGTCCTCATTGTTCATTTCAGAAGAGTCCACCTTATTTGGATAATGTCCCGCCTTTGCTCTGGATGCTTTCCAGTGGGCTGCATATTTGTAAGTCATGTGTCCATATACTGAATGTTACTCTCCTAAACACTCAGAAGTACTCCTTTATTCTTAAAGCTGAATGTCCTTTATAAATCCTCCCAAGAGTTCATAGATTGTAAGATAATGCAGAGTCCCCTCATTGAGACATGCTATGAGAACTGTACAATGTATTCATGTTCCTTTTTGGAGAATATAGAAAGTTTGATGGTTCTCAGGATGTTACGTGTTCCTACTGTTCAGAATATGGACTTTCAGATACAATACTCTGTGGATTATTGTCCATTATAACTGACACATGTTCTTACCTCATGTGTAAGCAACCAGCGTGTTCTCCAGCAGGAGGAAGTGACATCACCAGAAGTGATGCCATCATGTAGATCACACCTCGACTGGTTTTGTCGACATTGGACATCTTTCTGAAGATGTCCAATCAGGACAAAACCGGTCGAGGTGTGGTCACACACTGATGTCACTTCTGGTGATGCCACATATTCCTGTTGGAGCACAGGCTGGTTACTTACACATGCACATCCACGGCCATCCTTACCACCCTATACAAGTCATAGTGCCCTGATGATCAGTGCCGATCCCCGCTCTGACAACTGCCGGTTCTCGGCAGTACTTTCCTCGCGCTCTGACAGCGTGAGGAATGTGCAGCCGAGAACCAGCAATTGCATTTCCCGGTGATCAATGTGTCATTGGACACGGCTGATCACGTGGTAAAAGACCGCTGTGATTGGCCTTTTACCACATCACGTGATCAGCTGTGTCCGTAGGATACAGCGATCACGGAGAATGCCGGATGCGCGCACCCCGGGGGGGAGCGCAGGAGAGTGCGTTCTGGGAGGACGTCATATGACACCCCCCCAGAACTGGCCGGCTACTTGCGGTCGGCAGGTGGTTAAAAGTGTCAGGAATGGACTTGCCAGTAATGGTGGGACTCACCTGCCTTGTGGGCTGCAGTACCAGGGCTGGCCAGCGGGTGCTCCCAGCAATCAGAGACTCAACCCTGCAGCCAGCCAAACACCTGAAGCTGATTATTCAGGTGTATTTAAGGGATGGCCAGACCTGCAGTCTCGGCCTTGGTGTGTGTTTTTCCTGGGCCCTGTATCTTGTTACCTGCATTCCTGTCCATGTTCCTGTCCCTGTCTGACTGATTCGTTCCTGACCCTGCCTGATCCGGACCTCTGCTGACTTCACCTGTTTGATCCCTGGCTTGTGCCCCGACCATTCTCTGCCTGACCCCCTGTTCCTACCTGCCCGATTGTTATTGACCCGGCCTGCCTGACGACGCTTGCATTGTATGTATTATCTGTGGGTGGTTTGGTTTGGTTCGTTTGCACTGTGTTATGTTTTAGTATTGCACTGTGTTTATGTATTGTTAGTGTTAATAAATTATATTGTTTATAACATATCTGAAGCCTGCGTTTCCCTGCGTCAGTCACATACCTCTGGTCATACCCTGGAGCCCTGACATTACACCAAGGCCTATCCTGACCAGAAGTGGCTGCACAGGGAAGCCATCTTGGCTTGTTGCTGGGAAGGATGGATCTTGGTGAGGTTGTGTATTTGTCGCTGCTGGTTTTTGATGACAGAGAATATACTTATCAGGCTCTGAGGGAGTATCCCCGGGATCAACTGCTAGAATGTATATGGATCGCTCATGTTCTAGTAGATCAGGGCACAGAGTTCTCTGAGGTGCAGCCATTGATTCAGGTTTGTGTAGAGTTGGCTTCATCTGGTACCCCCGAATGCAGGGATGAATTTTTGCCCCCATTTAGTGCAGACCAGGTAGAGTCCCTGGTATGGTTATTAGAGGATGATGTGGATTGCTTCTTGGAGCATTATGCTGCATGTTCACCAAGGGTATTAAGGGATTGTATAAACGCAGTGCAGTCTTTGACCAGACAGGCTTTGTGTAAGCTAAGCTTTGTTCAACCCATACTGCAGACATGGTCAGACTTGTTGCACCCAGCCTCAGTCAGCTTGCAAAAACCCAGTCCTGCTTCTAATCTATTTCTTCAAAGCTCTATTCCTGCATTCCCAACAGCACCTCCAGTTACAGCCCAGTATACCCTGCTATCTACCGCATGTCAGTACCCTGTTCCCACTCGCTGCACCTATCCTGCCTTTAACCCTGTAAAGAAGCCCTCTGTAGCAACTGTTCCCTCCCCTGTTCCATCCTCCAGCTCTTCTCTGTCTCCAGCTGCTCCATCCGTTTACAAACCTGCGCTTACTTACAGTGCTCCGGTAACTAAAACCAGGAAAAGGCGAAAGTTCTTTCCAACCAATATTATCCTGCCAGTATCCAAACCGGTCAGCCTCCCATCTGAGAACCTGCCTTCCGTGGTGCAGCCTGGTGCCTTGGTGCTCACAATTCAGCCTGATGCCTCTACCCAGCCTGATGCCTCCATTCAGCCTGATGCCTCTACCCAGCCTGATGCCTCTACCCAGCCTGATGCCTCCATTCAGCCTGATGCTTCCATTCAGCCTGATGCCTCCATTCAGCCTGATGCCTCCACCCAGCATGATGTTTCTACCCAGCCTGATGAACTGATCCAGCCTGATGATTCCATTAGGCCAGTTGACTCGATGCCCGCTGTCTATCCAGACGATCCGGTACCTGATGACCCAGTACCCGCTGTCATGCCTGGTGACCCGATGCCCGCTGTCGAGCCAGACGATCCAATGTCTGACCCAGTGCTCGCGGTCATGCCAGTTGACTCGGAGCCCACTGTCGTGGCTGGTGACTCGGTGCCCACTGCCTTGCCAGATGACGCGGTGCCCGCTGGCGAGCCAAATGACCTGATGCCTGGTGACCCAGTGCCCGCTGTCATACCTGGTGACCCGATGCCCGCTGTCGAGCCAGACAATCCCATGTCTGATGACCCAGTGCCTGCTGTCATGCCTGGTGACCCGATGCCCGCTGTCGGGCCAGACGATCCAATGTCTGACCCAGTGCCCGCGGTCATGCCAGTTGATTCGGAGCCCACTGTCGTGCCTGGTGACTCGGTGCCCACTGCCTTGCCAGATGATGCGGTGCCCGCTGGCGAGCCAAATGACCTGATGCCTGGGGGCCCGGTGCCTGTCGCCCCGCCCGGGGGCCCGGTGCCCGTCGCTCCGCCCGGGGGCCCGGTGCCCGCCGCTCCGCCCGGGGGCCCGGTGCCCGTCGCCCCGCCCGGGGGCCCGGTGCCAGTCGCCCCGCCCGGGGGCCCGGTGCCCGTCGCCCCGCCCGGGGGGCCGGTGCCCGTCGCCCCGTCCGGGGGGCCGGTGCCCGTCGCCCCGCCCGGGGGCCCGGTGCCCGTCGCCCCGCCTGGGGGGCCCGGTGCCCGTCGCTCCGCCTGGTGGCCCGGCGCCCGCTGCTCCGCCTGGTGGCCCGGCGCCCGCTGCTCCGCCTGGTGGCCCGGTGCCCGCTGCTCCGCCTGGTGATCCGGTGTCCAGCTCGATGTGCCTCTGCCCGGAGTCCAGCTCGATGTGCCTCTGCCCGGAGTCCAGCTCGATGTGCCTCTGCCCGGAGTCCAGCTCGATGTGCCTCTGCCCGGAGTCCAGCTCGATGTGCCTCTGCCCGGAGTCCTGCCCGGAGTCCTGCCCGATGTGCCGCTGCCCGGAGTCCTGCCCGGTGTGCCGCTGCCCGGAGTCCAGCTCGGTGCGCCGCTGCCCGGAGTCCAGCTCGGTGCGCCTCTGCCTGGAGTCCAGCTCGGTGCGCCTCTGCCTGGAGTCCAGCTCGGTGCGCCTCTGCCCGGAGTGCCGCTGCCCGGAGTCCTGCCGGTGTGCCGCTGCCCGGAGTCCAGCCCGGTGTGCCGCTGCCCGGAGTCCAGCCCGGTGTGCCGCTGCCCGGAGTCCAGCCCGGTGTGCCGCTGCCCGGAGTCCAGCCCGGTGTGCCGCTGCCCGGAGTCCAGCCCGGTGTGCCGCTGCCCGATGTGCCAGTCTTTGATATCCCGCCAGTTACCAGGTGGAACATTTTGCCCAGCTAGGACTGTTTGGAGCGTCCTGAGGCCGCTCCTTGAGGGGGGGGGTACTGTCAGGAATGGACTTGCCAGTAATGGTGGGACTCACCTGCCTTGTGGGCTGCAGTACCAGGGCTGGCCAGCTGGTGCTCCCAATCAGAGACTCAACCCTGCAGCCAGCCAAACACCTGAAGCTGATTATGCAGGTGTATTTAAGGGATGGCCAGACCTGCAGTCTCGGCCTTGGTGTGTGTTTTTCCTGGGCCCTGTATCTTGTTACCTGCATTCCTGTTCCTGTCCCTGTTCCTGTCCTTGTCTCTGTCTGACTGATTCGTTGCTGACCCTGCCTGATCCGGACCTCTGCTGACTTCTCCTGTTTGATCCCTGGCTTGTGACCCCGACCATTCTCTGCCTGACCCCCTGTTCCTACCTGCCCGATTGTTATTGACCCGGCCTGCTGACGCTTGCATTGTATGTATTGTTATCTGTGGGTGGGTTTGGTTCGTTTGCACTGTGTTATGTTTTAGTATTGCACTGAGTTTATGTATTGTTAGTGTTAATAAATTATATTGTTTATATCATATTCACATACCTCTGGTCATACCCTGGAGCCCTGACAAAAAGCCTGAAGGTGCTTATTGGATTTTGGGGTCCTGTACTTGGCTAGACTGCCAAAATCTCTCTCACATGTGGTACCCCCATACTCAGGAGAAGTAGCAGAATGTATTTTGGGGAGTAATTTTACATATACCCATGGCATGTGTGAGCAATAAATCATTTAAGTGACAATTTTGTGTAAAAAAAAAAATGTTTGTCATTTTCCAAAAACTTATGGTAAAAAAATAAATTCTTCTATTGATTCAACTTGCCTCTCAGAAAATAGTTTGGGGTGTCTACTTTCCAAAAAGGGGTCGTTTTAGGGGGTGGGGGCATTTTATGCCCAGCATTAGAAATGTATGCCACACATCACTCACTCTTCTAACCACCTGAAGACCAAGCCTTTTCTGACACTTTTTGTTCACATGAAAACAAATCGGTATTTTTTGCTAGGAAATTAATTGAAACCCCCAAACATTATATATTTTTTTAAAGCAAATACCCTAGTGAATAAAATGGTGAGTGCTGCAATTTTTTATGTCACATAGTAAAGAGCTTAAAATTTCAAGTCCTGAGCTACTAGCCAGGCCTTAGGAGTTACACGCCACCAGTTGCCCCACCCAACCCCAACCCTGCTTCACCCCTAATTGTCCCCAGAGTCCCCCCACATTACATCAGGGTCCCCAGAGTCCCCCCACATTACATCAGGGCCTCCAATGTCCCCCTAAATACTCCATCATACTTAGACCATGCACTGCATACAACCATAACCCTCCATAATCTTTCAATCACAAAATCATCACTCTACCAAGCATGTCCTACCTACTATCCAACCCAGCAGTACCTCAAATGTCCCATACTCTACCACCCATAATAACCACATCATCCTGAACCTGACCAAACACCCATACATGTACACGTATACACACACACACATACAGTTATGTTCAAAATAATAGCAGTCAGACATCACTAACCGGATCAATCGCTGTTTTTGGTAGAAATGATATTTCTACATTGCAAATAATTTACTAGCAGGTGTAGTAGAGTCATAGAAATCCAACAGACCCAACAGTCATGACATGCATGCTGCTGATTCTGTGTCATTGAATCACTAATTGAAAGGGCGTGTTCAACATAATAGCAGTGTGGAGTTCTATTAGTGAGGTTATTCATTCTTTGAAAAACAGGTGGCAATTATTGCCCTTATTTATGGAAGGAAGGCAGCAAATGTTGGACATGCTGGTTACAATTGCATTTCTCTCTGAAATTCTGATAAAAATGGGTTGTTCCAGACATTGTTCAGAAGAACAGCGTACCTTGATTAAAAAGTTGATTGGAGAGGGGAAAACATATAAAGAAGTACAGAAAATGATCGGCTGCTCAGCTAAAATGATCACAAATGCTTTAAAATGGCAACCAAAACCTGAAAGACGTGGAAGAAAGCAAAAAACTACCATTGGAATGGATAGAAGAATAGCCAAAATGGGGCGGACTCAGCCAACAATCAGCTCCAGGAAGATGAAAGAAGGTGTGACGTTCCCTGTGAGGACTGTTACAATTAGAAGATGCCGATGTGAAGACAAGCTATCTGCAAGAAGTCCCCGCAAAGTCCCACTGTTGGGAAAAAGACGTGTGCTGAAGAGGTTACAATTTGCCAAAGAGCACATTGACCGGCCTAAAGAGAAATGGCGCAACATTTTTGTGGACTGATGAAAGTAAGATTGTTCTTTTTGGGTCTAGTGGGCGGAGACAGTTTGTCAGACGACCCCCAAACACTGAATTCAAGCCACAGTACACTGTGAAGACAGTGAAGCATGGTGGTGCAAGCATCATGATATGGGGATGTTTCTCATACTACGGTGTTGGGCCTATTTATCGCATACCAGGGATTATGGATCAGTTTGAAGACATCAGAATACTTGAAGAGGTCATGCTGCCTTATGCTGAAGAGGAAATGCCCTTGAAATGGGTGTTCCAACAAGACAACGACCCCAAACACACCAGTAAACGGGCAACATCTTGGTTCCAGACCAACAAGATTGATGTTATGGAGTGGCCAGCCCAATCCCCGGATCTTAATCCAATAGAAAACTTGTGGGGTGACATCAAAAATGCAGTTTCTGAGGCAAAACCAAAAAATAGAGAAGAACTGTGGAATGTTGTCCAATCATCCTGGGCTGGAACACCTGTTCACAGGGGCCAGAAGTTGCGTGACTCCATGCAACACAGATGTACAGCAGCAAAATCTTCAAACATTTCTCAGTTTATATAGTGAATGTTTGAGTTTGTAAAAAAAAATACAAACACTGCTATTTTTTTGAACCGTCTAATATTCACTTTTCTTCAGTTTTTTTAGAGGAACAACACAAATTTGATCTATTTTTCTTCATGTTTTGATTTGGAATAGAATGTGTCGTGTTCCCAATGCATTTGTGTGGATGGAAATAAAAGCTATTAGAAGGATTTTGAGCTTTATTCACTTTTTTTCAACACACTGCTATTATTTTGAACATAACTGTACAAATACACACACAGACACGTACACACACACATACAAATACACACACACAGCCCTATAAAAAGTTGCAGTACTTCGTTACCTTCACATACAGAGCCCGTGTGACATAAATGTACAGATTTGAGTAGCTGAAATGTGACCTGTAGCAATATGTAATTGTAAATTTAGTTCATTCCTTGTCATTAAAGTAATAAGGTATTCAGAGACAGATGGTCATCAATTAGCATCTGAAGGGACCTAGCTTCCTATGGAAGCGGCACCTGCATAATCAGACTTTGCCATCTTCCTGAAGCTTAAAAGAGAAATGCAGACATTTTGGCTTCATGACACCACGGGGGCTTCGAGCTGTCTAGGGAGCTCTAAAAGTACCGTATTTTCCACCGTATAAGACGACTGGGCGTATAAGACGACCCCCTACTTTTCCTGTTAAAATATAGGGTTTGGGCTATACTCGTCGTATAAGACTACCCCCCTTCCAACGCACACCAAATAAAAATTAAAAAACATCAGATTTGATTTCAATATGGTATGGTATTCCAATGATGGGGCACTATTCCTCCCACTGACACCAATGATGAGGCACTTTTCCTCCCATTGACACCAATGATGGTGCCCCATCATTAGTGTCAGTGTGTGAGGAATACTGTCCCATCATTAGTGTCAGTGGGAGGAATAGTGCCCCATCATTGGTGTCAGTGGGAGGAATAGCGCCCCATCATTGGTGTCAGTGGAAGGAATAGCGCCCCATCATTGGT